GTGCCCGGCCTGGCCCCCAGCACCCAGCCCACACCCGCGCCCCACAATCTCGTGCCCTGGTGGCCGGCCTGGCCCCCAGCACCCAGCCCACACCCACGCCCCACAACCCAGTGCCCAGGGCCCGGCCCTGAGCCCATCTTCATGCCTCAGGGTGAGGGCACGGGCCAGGGCCACCTGAGCCAGAAGAAGACGGTCACCATTCCCTCGGGCAGCGTCCTCGCATTCCGGGTGGCCCTGCTGGTTATTCACTCTAACTTGGGTGAGCTGGAGTTGGGGGTGTCTCCGGCCCAGGCTCTGGCAGAGAAGCAGGGAGGCCTGGGGAGAGCTACCTGCTGGCACGGGCTGCTGTGGGCCCCTGGCTGGACAGTTGACTGTGTCTGGCAGGCGGCTGAGCTCCTTGGCTCTGGTGTGTGGGTGAAGGGGCAGGGCCTGAGCTGGACAGGGGAGCTCCCGGTAGGGAAGGGGAGGGGAGGCTGGGATCTAGATGACATGCCTGTCCCTGTCTGCTCCCTTCTGGCTGCCAGAAGTCATTCTCTTCCCGGATAAGAAGCAGAAGACCTTCCAGCCGCCCCCGACAGGTGACAGCCGAGAACCCCCAGCCTGGGGTGTCCAGTGGGAAAAGCACACTCCCTTGGCAGTTGAGGGCTTCTCTTCTGGTGCTCAGGGCACAGGGAGGTCGGGCAGCCGCCACACACACACAAGGGGCAACACAGGACAGCTGAGCCTGGGCCACCCTCCCTGCCCTGCCAGTGTTAGAGGTGGTGACCAGGGCTGTGAGGGCCGGGGAAGGCCACAGCCCCCCATTCCCTGCACTCACCAGCCCTGCCCTCCTGTGCCCCTGCCCAGACTACAGGCCTTTCGGCAGCAAACTTTCCTGGCAGACGGACATCTCCATGAAGGGGTGCATCAGCAACTTTTGGACAGGTCAGTGGCCTCCTGACTGTCCCTGGGGCCTTTGGTGGGCTCTTCTTCTGCCCTCTGGGGTCTGCCTGTCCTGACCGGGGCTTTCCGGGGCCCTGTAAGCTCCCAGCCCTCTGTCCCTACAGATGCGGTCCCTGCGAATGGGACGGTTACTGAAGACTTCCAGGGCCTTCGGACAGAGGTGGAAGCTGTCTCCAAGGAACTGGCGCTCATGGACGGGCAGCTGTGCCAGCTGCTGCTGGAGGGCCTGGAGGGGGTGCTGCGGGACCAGCTGGCCCTACAAGCCTTGGAGGAGGCGGTGAGCAGGGGAGGGTGCCGGGGGCACACAGGGCCCGCCCAGCCAGCCAAGCTCATCTGCCCTTCCCGTGCCCGCAGCTGGAGCAGGGCCTGAGCTCCGAGCCCGTAGAGCCCCTGGGTGGTCCGGCAGGTGCTGTCCTGGAGTGCCTGGTGTCCCCTTCCAGAATGCTGGTGCTGGAACTCGCCGTCCCTTTTGTCTACCTGCTGGGGGCTCTGAACAGTGAGCGGCCCCTGGGAGTGGGGCAAGTGGGGGGTGGGAAGGAGGAAGGTGGGTTTTCCCAGGTGGGGCTTCAGGAACCCACTCTTACCTGACTCTCTCCCAGCGCTGAGTAAAGTCCAGCACCAGCTGCTGGTGGAGGCTATGGAGTTGAAGACCCTGTCGAGGCAGCTCGATCTGGTGAGAGGGTTGGGGTGGGGAAGGGTGGGCTGAGCCAGCGGAAGGGGGCCCTGCTGCACCTGGGGGGGGGTGGTATGGGCAGGCACAAGGTGCCCAGGGCTCCCCAGCTGACACACTCCTGCCCTGTCCTGGCAGGTGGGCAGCCTCTTGGAGAAGAGTGCCCCGTGGCAGAAGCGCAGCACCGTGTCCCTGCCTCCCGAGCTCCTGAAGAGCGGCTGGGGTGGAGAGACACCAGCCTGGGTCTTGCTGGAGGAGTGTGGCCTGGAGCTGAGGGAGGACCCGCCCCACGTGCACTGGGAGCCACAGGCCCAGGGCCACGCGTGTGCGCTCTACGCTTCCCTCACACTGCTGTCAGACCTGAGCCGGGAGCCCCACTAGCCTGTGCTCGGGCATGCCCTGGCAGCTCTCCAGCAGGGCAGAATGTTTGCCCACCAGCTGCCAGCCCTGCGAAGGTCAGGAGCCCAGCAGCCATGTGGTCAGTCTCCTGTGGGGCTCAGGAGTCGGAGAAGCTCAGTAAAGTTGGCGTGCGAAGGAAAGGCTGGTAGCAGAGTTTTTGGGGGTCTTAGATCTGGGGTGGGGTGGGTAGGGGTGAGGACAGTACCCACGCAGGGTCAGGAGGGACATCAGGGCCATGAGCAGGTGATGTCTGCACCATCCAGCCCTTCACCCTGGAGCTAAGGCGTTGCCGCTGTAGAGTCATGGGCCCATGGCCCTGCCCAGCCCCACCTGTGTGCTTCTCTGCCTTCGAGGAAGGGCAGGGCGATTCAGGTGAGGTTTCACCAGGCGGGTCCGTGGCAGAAGCAGGGCAGGAGCGTCTGGGGACACACTGCAGAAAGGCGTGGCCCATCCTCGGCCCTCAGGGGCTTTAGGGGGTACAGGCGTGGCTGGTAACAGACCCCACCCTCCTAGGGCCACACAGGAGGTTCCTGGAGAAGCATTGCTGAAGAAACGGACCTTTGGTCTGTCTCACCCCCATCTGCTTTCCTGAGCTAAGTGTAGAACAAACTCAACACCTCTCAGCCTTGCCCTTCTTGGAAAACCCTTTCAGGTGACTTGAGGGTGAGTGTGGTGGGAGTAGCCTGGGTCCTAGAAAGCTTTTGAAGAGGTGGGCACGCAAGGCACAGCCTTGGGGCCCTGAGACTGTCAATGCTGGGCCACGTGACAGGCCACACCTGACCCCATCTCAAGAGTTGCCCCAGTGAGCTCTCTGGCAATACTGCCCATTAGAGATCCAGGTCAAGACTGCCCCGGCTCACTGGCTGGAGGTGGAAAGGGAGTGAATATGTCAGGGTGCACCTGCCCTTTTGCCCCCCAGTCTTAGCCTCCATTGGAAGATTTACCCTGGGGTGGGCTCTCTACAGGTAGATCTAATGGACCCTGGGGGCCACAGCATCCCCACGGAGGCACCAGGCCACTGTGCCACCTGAAGCCTCCCGGGAATTACAACAGGCAAGAGTCACACTCCAGAGGCCATGTGGACTTTGCATGAATCTCACTCATCCTGGCAGGGCTGCCGGCTCTAGGCAGGGCCAGAGCAAGGTGGGCTGAACACACTCCTAACAGGCAGCGGTGTGGTGCAAGCCACGCCTGGACCGTAAACAGCCTGCTGCAGGATGGCACGGACTCTCCTGGGCACCATGGTGGGGAGGAGCACAGAGGTGCTGCCTGCCCACCACAGCCACCTCCCACCTGAGCCTCCATCTGGGGGTGAGCACAGCATCACCATTGGGTTTGCTCAGCAGACTCCCCAGCGTGCTGTGGGGTGCAGGCGAGCACTGTGCTTGGTGGGAGGGGTGGGCTGTGAATCGTTGCCCTGAGGTCTAACCCCTGCTTGCAAGGTGAGCGAGGAGGCCAGGTTGGCTTCCCTCTTTGTGGCTGCTACTGAGAGGACCCATGTGGCTGGGTCCTGAAACCCGTCCCCACCTGTGCCGAGGCTGTGCCCTTCATGGGTGCTCCCAACCCATCCTGGGCGGTGCGGACCTCAACAGATGACTGGCTTGAGAGCTTCTGAAGGTTCCTGCAGCTCCAGGCCTGCATCCTCTCTGCTCAAGAATGTTGATCTGTCTCTTTGCCACACCTGCTGTGCTCTCTTGGCCAGGCCATCACGCCCCCTGTTCATCATGTCAGGCCCCATGGAGCCTGGTCTTCTCCAGAAGCTGGCCCCAGCCTCCCTCCCAGCTGGACCACATAGGCCCAGGATCACACCTGTGACATCACGCACACAGGCCACCGATGTCCATGGTGCCCTCTCCCACCTTCTCTTGAGCTATTTCTTATATGTTGAATCCCGTTTTGGTATCTGCCATGGAGGATACACATAGCCAACCAAACCTTGCCCCTGACTCCACAAAGACGCATGTCCTGGGCCTGAGCCTCGGCTTCCTGCGTAAACCTACAGAGACCGTGACCGCACAGCTGACAGCTCTAACTGCACCTTTTCAGTGCCTGTTGGACCAGAGCGCAGCTTCTGTCTCAGGGTTAACCCAGCCTGACCTGGCCACAGCCTGTGCCTGGAGCCTGCCTGACCGTTAACCCTGCTGCCAAACTGGCTCTTACCTGGGGCCACATCAGGGCCTGTGGCCTGTTACCCCAGCCGGAGCCAGATCTTGGACCAGTTCAGTTCCCCATAACCACACTCAAAATAGGTGCCCAACGCTTTCCATCCACGTGTTTATTTTAGACGCTTTCCGTGCAGCAGCTGGGGAGACAGGTCAGCAGGACCCCATGCCTGCCCCTGAGGGGGAATGGCCCCAGCCCTTCACAAGGCTGCCCACACTCCCTGGGCTTCTGTGGAGGCTTCTGTGAGGAGAAGGCTGCAAGGGAGACCTTGAACGTGAGGACATTTCTAGGCAGGCAACCTAGGTTGCAGGAACCTGCCGACCAGAGCCAGAGGGGTGAGGTCACAGCACTGGCGGCTCTCAGAGCAGCCTCTTCCTCCTATGTCCAGTGGCACCGTCCTCATTCAACCCTGGGAGGGGTGATGGGGATTGTGGCCAGTGCTCAGTCTGATTGGGCTTGCACATGGCACCCCACAGGTGTGATCCCAAGTTGACATGGCCCAGCTGGGAGGGAGGCCAGGGCCAGCTTCCAAAGGCCAGGCTCCCATGGGGCCTGACATGACGAATGAGGAGCATGATGGCCTGGCTGAGAGGGCACAGCAGTGTGGCAGGGTAACAGGTCAACATTCTTGAGCAGAGGGGACACAGGTCAGGAGCCTCGGGATGCTGGTAAGGAATGGGCGCAGGATGAGGATGGGGGTGGCCAGCTGCAGGGCCGGCCAGGCCACAGCGTCCCGTGCAGGCATGAGGTGGAGACCCAGGAGGGCAGCCTACGGGATCACCAGCTTCAGGGTCCCCCACCAGACTCAAGATACCAGATGCCATCTGGGCCAGGAGCCATGCCCAATTGGGGCATGAGGGATGCTCCAGGGGACTGGGAGAACAAGAGGCCTGACGGAAACAGATGGGTGCTGGCTGTCCCTCTCTGTCGCCGTCAGGGTGCCTGAAGAGGGGTGGGGGGGGAGTAGGTGGGGGGTCGGGCACCGGTGTCCAGCACCAGGCCCAGGGAGCCCCTCCGTCGGGCGAGGACGGGCTGCTGTGCGCGTGGGGTGCCCAAGTCAGATCCCGGTCCGTGAGCCCTAGCCCCGAGCCTCAGGCTCGGCGGGGTCCGGGGCAGCCCCAGCGGCCTGCGAGGCTCCCACGCTGGAAGGGGCTGTCAGTGAAGACCGGTGGGGGCCGGGTAGGGTGTGGGGCGAGGCGGAGGACACGGAGCCCACGGGGATGGTCCCGGGCACAGGCCAGCAGTGCCACCTGCTGAGCGGACACGTGCGCTGCCGTGGCCACGGCCGGCTCGGGGTCGTTCTGGAGCCGCCCTAGGTCTGTGGGGAGATCACTGCTCAGACTGGCCGAGTGCCTGGACCACCCCTGGCCCTCCACCCACCGCTCCCATCCACTCCGCCCTAGAACCCACCACTCCTCCAGGATCCCACTCCCTGGCAAGGCGGGGCCTCACCGTGGAACAGCGAGTCCAGCAGGTCCTGGTTGACGCACCCGGGGCTGGCATGGTGGACAAGGAAGCCTGGACCACAGCAGATGCATGAGTGCGGGCCCCACACCCCGCAGGGCAGGGCTGGCCCAGCTCCCACAGCCCAGGTGCCAGGAGCAGTGTGACCCAGGTGGCCTCACCTATGAGCATGGCGGCTGCCCGGCGCAGAGGGTCCTGGGGACTCCGCAGGTAGCCTTGAGTCTGGCTCAGGAAGTTAGGCACGTGGCCCGGGTACCACCGAACCTAGGGAAAAAAGGGCTAGTGGCAGGACAGGAGGGCGGATCCTGAGTGTGGAGGAGGTTGCAGAGCTGAATCCAGGGGCTGGTGGTCCAGGAGAGCCCCCAGGGCAGGTGGCCTGGCCCGAGGCCTTGGACTTGCCCCACCAGCAGCCTGACTATCCGGTTTGGCTGTGGTAGAAACGGTTTGGGGGCCCCGGTGAACCCTGGAACAAGAGGGCAGCTGATCATACCCTCTCGAGGTCACCTTGCTTCCCTACTGACCAGGCGGTGGCAAACGTGGCTCAGGGCCTCGGGGCTATCATGGCGGGCCACGGTGACCATCTCCTCCAGCATGCCCCAGCAAAAGGCCTGGTCACAGCGGGCCAGGGTCCACTCTGAGCTCTGGGATAGGGGAAGGGAGCCGGGTCAGGGGTCCAGGAAGTAAAAAGGCAAAAGGTGGGGTGGGAAGAGGGGGAGCAGGGGCATCGGGCTGGGGACAGAAGAGCCCGGGGCAGGGGGCTGGAGTGAATCTGCCCAAGGAAATAGCAGTAGTAATCTGGCAGCCTGTGAGGCCTGCCCCTGAGGTCCTTGGGGAGGGGGAGTCCCTGACCTGTAATCGACGGAGGGGCGGCGTGGTGGGAGTGGGGAGTGTTGGCTGGCATAGGGGTGGGAAGGTGTGGGGTGGCTGACCTCAGCAGCATCTGGGCTGGGGTCATGCAGGCGCAACAGCAGCGGCACGAGACTCTGCAGCACCAGCCTCCGCAGGGGGCCGCGGAGCCCAAGCCGGAGCATGCCCCGGCCCCGGCGCACCAGAGTCCCTAGGAGCCCGACCGCCGAAGCGCGGACTGAGTCCCGGGTCTGCATGGAAGGGCGTCGTCAGGGCGGACAGAGGCTGAGAGGGACTGGAAGGGTGGCAGGGGGCGGCCAGGGCGGAGCGAGGAAGCAGGGGGTCCAGGGAAGGCTGCTGACTTGGTGTGATCTGGGGACAGGGCCTGGAGCCTGGGGAACCCCTGGAGGGCTGGCCTTAGGGAATGGGGTCTGGAAGGAAAAGTCTAGCAGGGAGGAGCTTGGCGGGACAGGATCTTGGAGGGCGCGCCTGGAGGGGCGGAGCTGGGCGACAACGGGAGGGCGGGCGG